TTGTTTGGTTCATAACTCATCAATTTAATTATAAAAAAAATAATAACAAATATTCTAATAGAATTGAGTTAAAATAGAGAGTTTGATGCAGTGAGGTAACTAACTAAAACAGAAAAATAACTTTTTAAATTATAATTTAACTAAAATTTTAAAGAGGCTGGTACTGATACTCCAACCTAAGAACATCATAGAGTGTATAAGACTTTTGTGCTCACTACTTAGGAAAAAAGACAAGATGCGCTAGTGAGATGTATTCTTTTATGAGTGAAGTAGAAAGTTCTTCTTAAAGTTATTGGAATTCTGATTATCTGAATAATGGATCTAAGAGGTCTAAGAATCTCTCGCCACGTTCCAAATCGTGGAGCGCCCCGTAGTCGTTTTATTACATTGGCATAGCACTGGAGCCTTACAACTTAAATTATTTTTGCACAAATTTTATACTTTTTAAGTATATGTAAATTAAATGAATCTAAAAAGTAAAAAAAAAAAAAAAATTAAAAATCACTAAAAATAATAAAATATGAATTAAAACTCCAAAATTTACTTTTAAAAATTTCAAACCAATCAGAGTGAGATAAATCAAGGCAGGACGGGTTTATTTTGTACATATACAAATAGTGATGGTAATAAAAATTTAACAATGATTGAGACTCCCATTTTTTGGAGACCCCCACAACCTCCTTTGGATTTTCACCATTCATGTGGGTTCCACACCATCAATGGTAGAGATCCAAAGGGGGTTGTGGGGATCTTCAAAAAATGGGAGTCTCAAGCATTTTTCATAAAAATTAGAGATAATATAACATATTATAGGTTGATTTATAATTAATAAGAATTTAAAAATGTAAGATGATAAATAAATGAATGTAAATAAAAGTGTAACATTTTAATGTTTTAATCTTATTATATATATAAATATATTTAATAAATATAATAGAGTGGATGAGCAAAATTTATCTCCGCTCTACTTTCTAATAGAGGCTACCCTTACCAATATGTGCATTAACTTCAATTAAAAATTCTTGATTTTGGCATAAGCGTTTTTGGCTATTTTAGTTATAAAAAGATAAAATATGCTAAAAGTTTAATAAGACAAAATGTCACATCCAAATTATAATTATTTAATTTTTTCTCTCACAAAAGTAAAAAAAGTTAAAAAATTAATCACAAACGAGATTTTGTCTCCCAAAGTTAAAATAGTCAAAAAGCCAAAATACTAAACCAACATTCCAAACGAAGGCTGACCTTGGGGAAATTCTACTTCCACACCAAGTTTTCTTACTCCACACACTTAATGAATTTTTTCAGAATCACAATTTTATCTTTTAACAAAATTATCATCTCACCCACCACCATCTCACCCACATATCTCACAATTTCTCCATACACATCTTACCCACAACTATCTCACCAACCACTTTATCGCTGGCCATCGCCTCACATGTCCAAACCTCAACCATACATAGCATTTCCTTTCACTTTCCCCACTCCCTACAGTCCCTGCAAATTACTTATCAGTCTTGTGCATCAGTGATTTAATGCGACTTAGGAGCATAATTGATCATTTGTTTACACAACAAACCATTGAATATGCTTGAAACCTTTGAGTTATAGATGAAATGCTTGAGATTTGTAAGTTAAATTTGATGTAAATCATTGAGTGGGAGTTGATTTCCATCCCAAGTTTCTGATAGAATTCCAGATAGTGAACTGAGAAGACATGAAGTTCCTCCGTCCCTTAACTCTCTCTTGTTTCCATTTTCTCATCTTGTTTAAGGCTTTGGTAGGATCCATGTTGTGGTAGAGGAATTTTCTTCTTCTTTTCATTCATCATTTTTTCCTTATTTTTTATAATAATATATGATAAGATGCAATTTCTAAAAGAAAATAACCTCAAGGAATGACAACGTAATTGCAGTTACAGACTCTGATCTCACACTTTCAGAAATCCTTAGGTAATTACACTACACCTGGAGAAGTGGTGTCCTTGACGATGGACAGGATGACATGGATTGGTTGTGAACATTTGTGCATCCAATTAACTTCGAAATAAGATTTTGTACATTGCTACTTTAGTTTTATGAATGGTACTTTTCTAGACACTTTTTTTTCCCTCTAAAATTTCTTTGGTTGCTTAACAAATCAAAATCTAATTTTGGTTTAATGTGCTACTTAACAGGATAGCATTCTTAAGCTTGGACAGGCATTTTGTTTCCTTTCTTTGCTTGTACGAACTGGATTGACTGTGCAAGTTAATGGATACTTTGAGGTTTCATCAAATTGGCGTGGCATTTGGTATGGAGTTGATATGGATAGAAGTGGAAAAAATCATTCTCTCTGGAACAGACTTCTTTTAGAAGAAGTTGTGGCCCCTAGTTTTAGGCTAAAAGGCTTGAAAGGGGCGGTGGTTGATGTCGTCGCTACTGTCGCCGTTGCCGATAACTGGTGTAGTTAGGGTTAAGGTTTTTGGAGTGAGAAAGGATGGAAAGAGAGGATGTGCATAGAGAATGTGAGGGTATATTTAAAATGTGAAGTGTGTGGACTGAGATAAAGAAGTAAAAATCAAATTACTAAATATGTAGATTGTAAAAAAATGTACATAGAGATAATTTGGTGAATGGAATAGACTCCATTCCAAAAAGCTCCTTGACCTTGCTTGCCTGGTCCAGTAATCAAATAAAATTATAATAATCAGAGCGAAAAATTGAATCTCATAAATCGATCAACATATAAAAATTGGTGGAAGTATCAGCTGTTGGAAAAAAAGAGCACTACGTATAAGTTTGAAATTTCATTTGACTAAAAATAATGAACATAGGCATGGTTGATTGAGAAGATTAGAGTATGCGATCGAGATTATTAATCTGTAAACCTATAATTCTATGTTTGTTTTGAAATTTCGTTTCAGGATTATTAATCCAACAAATTTGTAGGATTATTATAATAGGATAGGGGTGAGATTATATATCATGAGCTGGGAAATAAAATAAAAAGACTATTTTACCCTTGACTAAAAATTAAAACACTCTTGTTCTGTTTGGTAACCATTTTGTTTTTAGTTTGCAGTTTATATTTACAAAAATTTTAAAAACTGGCATAAAAAACTTGTTTGAAAAATTTTTTGGTTTATAAATTTGAGAAAAAAACGTGATTTTTAAACCGAAATTTAAAATTTTGACTAATAATTTTTTTTTCAATTAATTTTTCTTTCAATTCTTTTTGTTTCAATTAATTTTTTTTTTCAAAATAATATTTATGTCAATTATTTTTTTCAATTAATTTTTTAATTAATTTTTTTTCAATTATAACGTGTATGATCCCATTATCATAAAATAATAAAAAATAAATATAAATATTTTAGGTTTGAACGAACATCCCTTGAGTTTATGTTTTTAAAATTTTTCAAACATTTTGTTCAAACCAAACGCATTTGTAGTTTATGTTTTTTTAAAAATAAACAAAACCAATTTATAAAATTTTTATAAACATAAACAAAAAAACGTAAAGATTACCAAAACCAATTTATAATTTAAAAGACCATTTCATTCCTACTTATTCGTCGTTATCTCCACTATCCACAAGCCATCCTAATATTTGTTCATATATCACATATTTATCCATTTAAGCCTTGTTTAGAAATAAGCTTTTTTTAATAACTTTTTAATTTTTTTTTGACTAAAATACAATATAAAAAAATTAATATATTTGGGATGACTTTTTAATTTTTTACGAAAAGATATGTAAAAAAACAAAAAAAGAGTAAATGAAATCTTTAACTTTTTTATATATAAATTACTAACTTTTTAATTTTTTTAATTTTTTTTTTTAACTTTTAAACTAAAAAGTAATATTATCAAACGAAACATCAATCTACATATATCTATCCATATTTTTATTTTGGAAAATGCCCCAGATCCCCAGTGGGGGTGACCCCCATCACCCCCACTGTTTTTTGATTGGCTCAAAAAATTATTATTGTTATTTTTTTTTCAGTCTTGCTCTCACAGTAAGACATGTGGAGGTGGGGGGTGCTGGGGGTAGGAGTGTAATTTTGGCCCGCGGCCCGTGGGCGCCCGAAGCCCGCCCGCAGCCCGAGGTGGGCCAGGCCCGTTAAGGCCCGTTTAGGGCCGAGCCCAAGCCCAGCTTGAGGCCTTGGGCCATCGTTTTGAAGCCCGGCCTGGCCTGCTTGGCCCGGCCCGTGGCCCGCCCAAAAGCCTGGCCCACCGGAGGCCCAGTGTTATTTTTAATGAAAAATAATAAAATTTTGGTAGAAAAAATTTTAAAAAATAAAAAAATTTGTTTAGGCCTGCCTAAAGCCCGAGCCCAGGCCCAAGCCCAGGGCCCGGCCCACTACCCCTGGCCCTGGGCTTGGGCCTAGTTTTTTGGCCCATGGGCCGGCTCGGCCCGGCCCGATTTTTTGGCGGAAGCCGGTCCGAGTTTTTGGCGGAAGCTTGCAAGGCCCGACATGGGCCCGACCCGGCCCGGCCCGAGCCCGACATGGGCCCGACCCGACCCGAGCCCGACATGGGCCGGGCCGGACCAAAATTACACCCTTAGCTGGGGGTCACCCCCACTAGGGTCCCCAGCACTATTGTTTTATTTTTTATCACCATTATCATCGCTGTCGCCTACACCTGTCACCACTAATAACTTTTTCGGCAATTTTTTTAATGTTACTGACTTTTCCCATATACTAATATAAAAAATAAAAAATAAATTATTTTTCCATCAAATAATTTCATTAAATATTGTTTATGACAAAAAAGTCAGTGATCAAGTAGCATAGGACTGTGTGAGTGTAATTTATTTTATTTTTTTCATCACTTTCTTTGCACGCTTCTTGTGATATATATTTGAATGAAAGTGAAGCAGTAACAACTCTATAAACAAAAGGCGGAATTAAATAGATTTTGAAAACCCCCCATTCAATCCGGTGAGCTCTCTTTCTTCCTCTCTCTCTCTCTCTCTCTCTCTCTATATATATATATATATATTTGTACATATAAAATCTCTTGATTTAATGAAAAAGTGAATCCTGATCTTCTTTGTTGTTTGTTGTCTAGGATTTTTGATTTCCTTGTCTTTGCTTGTTCTTGTTGCTTTGAATTTAGTAGTAATGTAAAAAGTAAATCATGATTTCTTTGTTGTTTCTGCGGAGGATTTTTTATTTATTGCTTGTTCTTGTATTTAATTTCAGTTTGTTTCATCATGGTTATGTTCTTTCAAAATTAATCAATAATAATTATATTGCGTGTACGTGTATATTAGACATTCATTGATCACAACTTTCATTAGCTTATAGATATTGTTTTGAAAAGTTCTTTGACAGTTGACTTTTTTTTGTGAACACTGTTCTCTAAACCCCCAACACCCCAATTATGTTTTCTGTTTCATTATCACTTTTCCATTTTTCAGAAGATAAATCTGTCTTTAAATGATTACCAAACAGTTTTTCAACTTTTTTCTATTGTTACTCTAAGCCTTTACTTGTAATTTGATTAGAACTATCTCAAATGTCTGATTTAGATCCATTTTGGTTAGTCTGTATTATATGTTTAGAATTCAAAATGATGCACAAGAATTGTTAGTCATTGTGAATTTTCTTGATTTCGGGATGTTATTTACCCTATCGACTTTGACTCTAGTGTTTTCCAGATTTTTTGGTAAAATTTTATGGGTTTGCTTTAATTATAGCTTATTACTTCTAGATTCCAAAGGAACTTAGTTCTTGCCTAAGGGGAATTTATTTTGAAGTAGAGAAAATTGTGATGGAGTTCTATGATTGTCCGAATAAAGCAAATTCTATTACATTCTGGTCACATATGATACATGTGGTGCTTTTGTTCCTTTCACTCCAAAAAATTCTTGTATGTTCTAATGTCCAGTATTTACATTCTCAGTTCATCAATTTCAAGTTGAAGAAGAATGAGTGGGAATCACAATCATTCCGGTTATCCTGGTGGACAGTACCCTCCGCCTCCTGGGGCATACCCTCCCCAAGGATACCCTCCTCGGGGATACCCTCCCCAAGGATACCCTCCTCAGGCATATCCCCCTCAAGGTTACCCACAGGCTGGATACCCTCCCCCTAGCGGTTACCGTCCAGCTGGATATCCTCCCCGAGGTGGATACCCACCATCACCATATCCTTCCCCAAGTGGATATCCACAAGTAGGTTATCCTAGTCCATTGGCTTCACATCATTCAGGTATGTTTGATGCATTTATGTTTTTAGGATATAAATTTGACATCCTTATCTGTTTTTAGATATGTTTGTCAATAGATTGTCATTGCTTCACTCGGGAGGGACCTTATTATTGGCTTTTCTTGCCGTGTGTTGTTATTTGATTTGTCCTCCAATATTAGGATATGTTTTTCATTTGGTTGTTAGTGCTTCACTTGTGAAGGACCTCATAGGCCTTTCTTGCTTTTATGTTGTGATGAGGGGAGTGGGCATGGTATGTGTAGTTTTTATTTTTTCTGATCATGTCATTTAAATAGAATAGTTAGGGTTGAGCAAGGAAGTTGAAAAATACGCAAACTGAACTAGTTCAGACCAATCCGGTAGGTTTGGTTTGGTTTTTTATTTCGTGGTTCGGTCCTAGTTTGAAAAATTGAGAAACCGGTCTCCACGGATCGGTTCTGGATTGGAGCCGAACCAGACCGTATAACTTAAATCATATATATTTGTTTGATAGATATTATGTAGGTGTTTGGGAAGTGAGTTTTTATGTAGGTTTTTTTAGTTGTAGGATATTATTAGAGAAATCTTTTTTTGTGTTTGGGAAGATAGTTGGGTTTTTTTGTTGTTGGATGTGATGTTTGTGAGAGAAAAAGTGAAATGATTATGGGGTTGGATGTGATATTTTATTTGGATGTGTTTTTTTTTTTTTGGTTTTGCAAAAAGTTTGTCTTTTTGTGAAAAAAATCAAAAAAAACCCAAGTCCCAAACTTCCCAAACACCACCTATGTTTGTTTAGGTTAACGGTGGAACAATGTGCATATTTATGTTTTGAAAGTTTATGTTTCAAAACATCATAACAGATTAATGTTAAACAATATTTGCTTAATGTTATGGTTTTGCTTAACTGGTGAATATTATGAGAGTAGTTTGTTTGATTGACATGTTATTATTTTTTTTAAAATTTATGATAGGTTGTATTTTTTTGAAAATGTTATATGATTTTTCTTGTGAACAGATTATATGAAACCGTGGTTCCAAACCGAACCGAATTGTGTTTCAATGGTTTGGTTTGGATTGGTTTTATGATTTTAATGGTTTGGTTTGGTTCCAATTCTTATGGAACTGGTCCTTGTTTCATCCCAAATTGATCCAAATCATGCTCACCCCTAAGAATAGTAGTGAAATTACTTCCATTATAGGCCGCCTGCAAAAGGCTTTCATTCAAATGTGATGACCTACTCAGGGCTTTCAAATATTGGTGATTTTTATTTCTATTCAAAAATTTGCTGTTAAAAAACTTCAGAGTCGTTGGGTGTGTTAAAGGTGATTGGTCACCACCTGCAAGAAATGCTTGAACAATAGTGGTTGGCACTTGGCAAAAGAAAGTAGGACCTCCTAGAACCTTTGATTAGTTTATGTGTCTATTCAGTGTTTTTGAATCCAGAACAAGGAACTCATACAACCAAGAACTATCTAGTGCGTGTTATCACCTAGCAGGCTTTAATCAGAAGCAAAATTAATTGTTTTTTTTAATGGATTTTGGCACCAAAAAGGTTTTAGAATTCCCTTTCATCCCAGCAGTAAAGGGGACTAAACTAGGATATTCTAATTTGAAATACTGTAAAATTTGACGGTCTGTCTCTAATTCTCTCTCAGGGAGGTTGAAAAAAAGAAGAAAAAGAGAGAGAATTCAATGGTTCATGTCTGATTATTGAACTTTCTTTTTTTTTGTTAATTTTTCATTTCTCTGCCTCCTATTTACATCTACTAGTTTGCAATTTAATATAAAAGCAAGGTAATGATGATCCCTAAGCAGGCAGGCTTGCAATGCTGTTTGTTCAATTGTAACACTAGGCTTTTATTATTATTATTTTTTCCCTTTGTTGATAATATGTTATTTCTGTCGTTAATAACATATACAGGGCATGGAGGACCTGGTATGGGAACACTGACAGCTGGGGGTGCTGCTGCTACGGCTGCTGCTTATAGAGCTCATCATCTGTTACATGGTGCTCATCATCCGTCACATGGCAAGCATCATCTATCACATGGCCATCATCACCTGTCACATGGCCATCATCACCATGGGCACGGGAAATTCACGGGGGGAAGTTCACTGCTTTATTGTCATACCAGTTTTTGTGTGTCATACGTTACTACCAGCATTGTTTGCCACTGCCATTGTTTAGGCTTGCTGTGATTTTTGTCCCTTTGTTTTTTGAACCTCATGAATTGTGGATGCAATTTGGAAGTTACAGCATCGAGCTGCTTGGATATATAATTACAAATTTCTTATGTGGTTTTTCTCCACATGTGAATGACATAGGTGGTGTGTAGTTCACTGGAATGAATGTGGAGTGGAATAGAATGTTTATTCCTAAGCCTTTTTACGAAATGATCATTCTCTTACAATGATGACTCCATTTGCAATACATTTTTCTTGACTTTCTTTAGTGAACCGAAGGTGGGAATGAATATTCTAAATGAAAGATGATTTTATTCCTATGAACCAAACATAAGTCTTTTGAGAAAGGAACTCATATAACCCTTATTTATTTTTTTGGCCTTGTAATTTTCCTTACAAGTATTTGCATAGTAATTGTTACAACATGCAAAAGGGTGGTTTGGCTTAACAATGAGGCTTACTGTTAGCGTTCTTACTGGCGCAAGTTTGAGTCATGAAAACAATCTCTTTAGGCATGGGTGGGTGAGGTTACGTTCGTTTGTCCTCCCTAGGCCTACTTTGATAGAAGTCTCGTGCATTGAGTTATTACTTTTAACTGTTAAAATGTGCCTGTCACAGGATATATTTGGTGGTTCTTTCAACTATGGTCCAATAAAAACAACATTTCCTTTCACACTTAAATATTTAGGATTTTTGTGAAAGCTACATCTTGGACAAAAGGAAGAAGGGAAAAATAGTGAAGTCAAAAGTAGTGAAACTGGGTGTTGGAACTGATTGGCTGGTTGATTTATCTGTTTCAAGTTCATGAAATGGAAGATAAGGAAAGTGTTTTTCTGTGCTTCTCAACTTCGTTTTTTATTGGTTATATATATATGTTATTTAGATGTTTTCCTTCTCACAATTCGTATGTATTTATAAATTGGGATTTTAACTGATACAATTGGTGTGTTGCTTCCTTGATATTTTCAGTTGTTACTATTCTTGTTTTTAGACATGAATTCACTGGGGAAAAATGGCATTTATCAGATATATTTTACTGTTTTATTTTGCCTACTATGTGTTTCATAGAACATATGCCCATCGTTGCCCATTAAAGACTACATTGGAGACCAAGCGTTTTGGTGACTTATTCTGGTGGTATAAAACAATCCGACTCATTGATGATTATATTTATGAATTTTGTTAACAAAGTGTTCCAAAAATGCAATAAATACTACTAACTAACACCATTACTATAGAAAATAGAGAAAGTTATAAATGTATAACACAAAAACGCAAGTTTTTTTTATGAGACCAAACTACCCTTTGATGTATGTCTTTCTATTTTATCTTTGGGTAAATTACACTGACACCCCTGAGATTTCTTTTTAATACAGATCCTCTGCTCACATTTGAAAAATTAGACTTACCCCCTGTCAAGTTAAAATGACATATGTGTCCCTTACCCTTTGTACATATAAAATAATAAAATAATACTGATGTTTTGTTCATGTCATTTCAAGAGAAATAACAATAATTTTCTTTGGTTTAACTCACAAAAAAATTGAATTTTTTTTTTATTTTTCGTGTTTTTTTATTTTTACTGAATTTTTTAAACATTTTTAAAATTTTTTTTTAGATACATCTAATTTAGATATACTTAAGAAGTATAATATTTTGTATTTTTTTTTTAAATTCACCAAATACAAAAAAAATATTTGAAAAATTACATTTACCCTCTATCAAATTAAAATAACATATTTGTCCCTTAACCTTTATACATATAACATAATAAAATAATGCAGAGATTTTATTCATGTCATTTCAAAGAAAATAACAATCATCTTCTTTGATTTAACTCACACAAAAATTGAGTTTTTTTTTTATTTTTTTATTTATATTTTGTACTCTTTTTTTTTTACTGAATTTTTTTAATATTTTAAGCAATTTTTTAAAAAAAATTTTTTAGATACACCTAATCTAGATATACTTAAGAAGTATAATATTTTATGATTTTTTTAAAAATAAAAAAATACAAAAATTCAATACATTATCTTATTCTGTTGTATTTAATGGATTTTTTAAAAAAAACAAATTGCACAAATTTTAGATTTTTTAAATATATCTAAATTAAATTGATCTAATCTAGATATAATGGGGGAAATAAAAATGAAAAATTATATTCATATATAAAAATTTATACAAAAAATGTCATAAAAATATTGTGATAGTGATGTTGTAAATATAAATCATGTTTATGAGTGTTTTGTTTTAAAGTGAAAGGTTATTATTAAGTTATATCATTGTGTTTGAAAATTTAATATAAAATTTATGTTTGAATATCATCACTCACTAAGAATATGTTCAGGTAGAATTTAATGATGAAAAGTTGTAGGTTGCAGTCACGATGGTAGAAAGAAGAAATGGTAGGAAAAAGGGCAAAATGGTTACATATTTAAAAAAAATTAGAGCATAACATCAGCAATCGAGGAGTAATTTGTAATGAGATTACAAATCTTAGAGAGGGAAATGTAATTTTTCAAACGTAAGGGAAAAATCTGTATTAAACAAAAATTTCAGGGGTGTAAGTGTAATTTACCCTTTGTCTTTTGTATCAGTTTTTTTAAAACTTTTTATTTCCTACCCGGATATTCTTTCGTGAATTAATATATTAAATAAATTTAGTAAATGGTGAAATACACAATAATATTAGAATATTAATGCATTTTTTTTACATATTTAAAATTAAATATTAATATAAACGTGTAAAATAGTGTTAAAATGTATAAAAATGTCTATATAAATATATATATATGCAAAAAAAATGCATTAATATTATATCTTTTTACAATATTTTTTTATCATGAAAGCAATAAATATTAATTTTATATAAAAAATAAAAAATTCAAAAATTATAAATAATATTTAAATATTTAAAGAGCTCACTTATAAATATTTCTTTATGACTCTTTAATATTTTATTATGTTCCTCATTTTTTACCACTTTATTAAGGGGCTGAAAAGAATTTTGTTGGTATTTTACATTTTTGGTAAATATTTATCTAACATATTAATTCATGAAAGAATATCTGGGTAGGAAATGAAGACAAAAAAGAAAGTAGATAAAAGATAAAATAGAAAGAAATACATAAAATGGTAGCTTGGTCTTATCAGCATCAATATTTTTATGTTGTACATTTATAACTTCCTCTATTTTCCATAGTAGTGAGTTTAGTTAATATCATTTATTACATTCTTAACAAATGTGTACTTGTTAGCAAAACTCTATATTTATTTACAACAAATCTATATAACTATCACGATCCAAACCCGCCCCTATAGGTTTAGCGTCGTAATCGGCCAGTAATCGTTGGACTACCAAAGGCCTCTTGTCATAATAACACATAGTTAGGGGCTGTGGGAGCAAATATACAACATACGAAATCCATTGAGCTGTGAAGACATACATGGAACTGAAAATCTTAAACTTTATATACATACAAGTGACGTCATGGATACAGTGTTTACACGTCACTATCAAGCGCATAAAAAGAAAGCTTGTTCATAAAACAAAAGAAACAGTCTTATATATCCATATTGGCACAGCCACGATACATGACTTGATCTGGAACCTCCTCGTGAGGCGCAAATGGGTGGCTAACCAACACAAAATACTCCAGGCATCAACTTAAGCCTAATCACAAGCCTGCTCACATACACACATAATAAATAACTAGTGAGCGGAGGCTGAGTGAATAATAACAAAGTAAAGGGGGTAAATGAATGATGTCCCATAAATGTGGCTGAAACTGTAATTCACATGTATATTCTTATTCTGAGCTTATAAAGAATTCAGGGTTCATGCTTAGTCTTACATAGTATATCCATCAGTGCTGATAAACCACACAGAGAATGCCTTCAATCATTCTTGTTAGTTCTATATAAGAACCTCCGGCCAGGTAAGAATAACTTGTCAGTTCCATAAAGGAACCTCTGGACTGGGAACTTGTAAACTTGTCAGTTCCACTTAGGAACCTCTAGCCGGGTGTAGATAGCTTGTCAGTCCCATAAAGAACCTCCGGTACCGGGAACTTACATATACTTGGATCATAGCGTTACTTGAATCATAGCATAATGTCATAAGTGCTTGTTAGACTTGGACAGTCATTCATAGCATAAAACACGACATTTCATTAAACAGTTCTTAATCCGTGAGCAGAAAATAATTTACTTGAACATAGCTTTACTAAGTTATTACTCAGATACTTGGTAGCTCCAAATTGACGGCAAGGTAAGCAATTCACCTATCATGAGGCGCGTGTCCTACATAACATGGCAGATTCATACATTGAATGCACACGCTCAGATTGTACATAACTTATTCCGTTTATTCTAGTGTGTTTCTAGCTTGTAACCTCATTATGTGGTCTTAAACGTGGTCTAGGAGTGCCTAGGATGGAACGAGGATGCTAGAATGCACTTGAAAACATTATTCAAATTTTGCTGAAAATAGGGTCCACGCTTGAGCGTGGCTTTCCTCGCTCGAGCAGGCATGCAAGGAGTAAGGGTTTGCTCGAGCGTGACTTCCCTCGTTCGAGCGTACTGTAAACTTTGAAAAAGTACTGGTTGCTTGCATTTCACGCTCAACGGATGCTCGACCCACACTCGAGCGTGAAACTCAGACCCTCGCTCGAGCGTGACTTATGTCGCTCGAGCGTGCTGCACAACTTGTAACTTCTGGATACATGCATTTCACGCTCGAGCGGGCATCATGTCGCTCGAGCGGAAGTGCACGCATTTAGAGTGCTCGCTCGAGTGTGAACTCCTACGCTTGAGCCTGGATTCAAATTCTGGAATTTTCAGATTTGATCTCCATGCTTCAAACTCAAACCAAACACTTTAAAACTCATCCTTTTGGGCCAAAATCTTGGAAAACACTTAAAAACTCATAAAACAACATGTTTAAAGGATCATTTCAAGAAATCATGGCCCAAAAGCATATCAATTGTTCACTATTTCAACTTAACTTTATGGATGATCCAAAAACATATCATGCATGAAATGATTTGAGTTTCAAGCCTCCAAACCATGATCAAACTTGACAAATTTATAGAAAACATGATGAATTCCTACAATTAAGCTCAATTTATGACATGCATGAGAGAATTCTTGGCAAACATGCTCCAAATGTAATGAAATGAACATGCATGCATATATTAATCTTCTTTCCT